TATTAGCTGATCTATGATGTCGTTCACTACCTTCCAGTAGGGCCGAATTTCCCTGCACTCCCACCATATGTGTAGCATTGATCCCCTGTCCATTCCACATCGCCAGCATTGGGCCGAGGTGCCTGGGAATATGTGTGCTAGCCTCGTCGGGACCAGGTACCATCTATATTGTAGTTTCCTTATTTGTTCAAGGTGTGTGACACATGTGGTCTTGCCTTTATGGATAGTGAAGGCTCCCGACCATTGATGCTCTGAGAAAGTGCATCCTAGGTCTTTGTGCCATGCCTGTTTGAAGTTGTCGGTAGAGTTATGTGTACCAGTTAGTAACGTTCCATAGACTCTTGAAAACGTTCGTTTGTGTGGGGTTCCCTTGAGGCAACATGCCTCGTAGTCGGACACCGCGGGTGTCCCAGGTGGGGGAGTGTGGTGTTGTAGCATCGATTTGATCTGTAGGTATGAAAAAATTGCTCTATTCGGTATTTTGTACTGTGCTTGTATGTCCGGGAACTGTTTAAGAGAGGATCCTGTGTACAGATCGTGTATGTGCGTGCACCCTGCCTTTGTCCATGCCCTATAGTCAAATGTTGGGTTTCTCAGGTATATGCTATACATCGTTGAGGCAAGTGATAGGTCACCTGTACCGCTGAGGTGCGCTCTACTTGTGTCCCATGTGTGCAGCAATAGTTTTGTGGTTTCCAGCATATGGGGTGGTGCTGGTCTCAGGTGTTTAGGTACCCAGAATAGATGGTGCATCCCAGCTCTGCACGACTCATGGGTTTCAATAGCTACCCATTGTGGTGGGTTGTCTGCCCTGTGTGCCACGGCCACCGTGGATAGAAGCGCCGCCTTGTAATATAGTCTGATATCTGGGAAACCCATGCCCCCTTTCTCTATTGGCTTTTTGATCGTGGAGAGTGCTACTCTAGGAGTTTTATTTGCCCATGTGAATCGTGTGATGGTTTTTTGTAACTTGGTCATGTAGTGCCTAGGGATGGGGATCTGTAGTGAGCGGAATAGGTACTGTAGTTTAGGTAACAGCTACATTTTGAAAGCCGCTATGCGCCCGTGTCACGAGTGGAAGTCACTATGCCACTTTTCGAGCGTCTGCGATATTTCGTGTGATAGTTTCTCATAGTTATATTTATACATTTGGTGGGTCGTTCTGGCTAAATTGATCCCTAAAAACTTTATGTAATCGTCCCTCCAGTCAAAGTTAAAAGATTCCGTCAGGGTGTGGAGAGTCCGTCCCGGGAGATGGATTCCCATTGCCTGTGTTTTTGTCAGGTTAAGTTTGTAATACGATACTTTGTTATAGTCTTGTATGCACTGAAGGAGGTTGGGAATGGATATTTGCGGTTGTGTCAGAGTTAGGAGTATGTCGTCCGCAAAGAGGCTGAGGGTGTACTCTCTGTCTCCCACTCGGACTCCGTGTATCGCCGGATGGGCCCTAATCGTGGCAGCCAGAGTTTCTAGTGCCAGCACGTATAACAGAGGGGACAACGGACACCCCTGTCTCGTCCCATTTGTGATTTCTATTTGTTCTGATACGAATCCTGAGTTTAAGACCTGGGCCCTTGGCGCTGAGTAGAGCGCCCTCACCACTGAAATGAAGCTCCCCGGGATCCCATATCTCTTTAGGGCCGCCTCCAGAAAGCTCCATCCCAGCCGGTCGAAGGCCTTTTCTGCGTCTAATGATATTAGGACCCCCCCTGCCCGTGTTGTCTCCAGGCTCTGCATAAGGTTTAGAACTTTTCTTGTGTTATCTGCCCCCTGGCGCCCTGTTACAAACCCCACTTGATCATTGTGTATAATATGCGGCAATATAGGCCCTAATCTTAATGCGTAGAGTTTGGCTAGGATTTTGGTGTCCGTGTTAAGAAGGGATATAGGGCGGAAGTTTTGCGGCTGTGTCGGAGGCTTACCCGGCTTAGGTAGGGTAATAATATGGGCCAGTTGCATTTCTCCCGGGAGGGTCTCTGTGCGTACTGCTTCATTAAATACTTCTGCTAGATAGGGTGCTAAGATATCTTTAAATGTCTTGTAGTACGAATTTGCGAATCCGTCAGGGCCTGGGGCCTTTCCTTTCGGTAATGACCGTATTGTATCGCAAACCTCCTCTGGGGTAACTTGCCTAGATAGTGTTTCTTGTTGCTGGGGCGTTAGGGTCGGGAGAGTTGCTTTATCTAAGTACTCTGTTATGTTTGTATCTGTTGGGGGTTGGATAGTGGGGTCTCGTCGTAGGTTGTATAAGTCCCCATAGTAGCGTGCAAATTCGTTACTAATTGTGAGAGGAGTCATTACCTTCCCCCCCGCTTTGGAGTGTAAAAACGCTATTTTCTGCGCCTGCTGTCGTTTTTGCAATCTTGAAGCCAGCAATTTACCCGCCCTATTCCCTTGTGAGTAATGTGTGGCTTTTAACTTCCTTAAGGTGTATCCTACTCTGTCGATCGCCTTTTGTCGGAGTTGTTGGCGCATCTCCGATATTTGTTCTTTCAATTGGGTCGAGGGTTGGGCTTGGTTCTGTAATGTCAGGTTGTATAAGTCTTTCTGCCATTGTAATGTCTGCGTCTGCGATTTCCTTTTCAGGAATGCTGCTCTTCGTATAAGGAGTCCCCGGGCTACCGCTTTATGGGCCTGCCATATCGTGTGGTGTTGTAAATCGGGATTGGTATTATCTGTAAAGTAATGGCGTAGTGAGTCAGAAACGCTCTCCGAGAAGGACTTGTCCAACAGGAGAGTTTCATTGAGACACCATGGACCCCTATGTTTAAAATCATACGTGTCCCTTAGTGTCAGTTCCATGGGAGCGTGGTCAGACCATACTATCTGCCCCACTCTGCAGTCCACTATCTGCTCAAGTGCCCCTCCCTCTACCAGTATCGCGTCTATTCTCGAGTAGGTGTTATGGACCTGTGAGTGATGGGTGAATTCCTTATCTTCTGTGTGTGTGACGCGCCATGCATCGTAGTAGTGGTGTAGGGCCAATAATTTCGCCAGGGTTGCGCTTTGCCGCTTGAGTGGTTTGTATCTCGGGCTATTTGGAGAGAGTGTAGTGTCCAGGGCTGGGTTGAGAACATGATTTAGGTCCCCACATATGATTGTCATACCTTGTTTGATATTGGATATTCTGGAGATGATTTTGTGTATGAAGTTCCTCTGATTGGTATTGGGGGCATACACGTTAGCTATTGTGTATAAGGCATTATTTATTTTTCCAACCACGATAACATATCTGCCTTCCCTATCTGTATCTTCGGTTATTAGGTCAAAAGCCACCTTTGCACTTATTAGTATAGAGACTCCTTTTGATTTGGTGTCAGACGTGGAGTGGAACTGGTAAGGGTGTGTCTTGGTTAGAATGCTGGGGTGGGTATTGCCCCTGAAATGTGTTTCCTGGAGACACACTATATCAGCATCTAGTTTCCCTATGTCCCTACTCAAGAGGTGCCTTTGTACTGGGAGGTTGAGTCCTCTCACATTATGGCTGTATAACTTTATGGTGGTATGTATGGGAAGATGTTGCACTTGCTTAGTTTGTAATGATCTATCATGAGTCTCTGCCTTCCCCAGCTATTTCGAGCTAGGCAGATCTCTATTGCTAGGAACTTCAGGGTGAGTGTAAGACCTGTCATCCCAGGGTTCTTCCCCATTAGTAGGCGCTCACGCCTTGCTGAGGTGTAGGGATTAAGTAGCGTATCTTGGCTTCCCACGAGGCCTTGAGGTAAGGGGGTTGGATTGAGGGGGGGGGATCGAACAATACAATTGGGGGTTGGTGAATCCTCTGTCTTGCAGAGTTCTAACATATGTACAATTTTGAACAAAATTGCCAAGTTTATGGCAAGGTTCCCATAAGGGGAACCGTGGGGGTCGGAGCGTATCGCTTTGATCCTGGTTAGGGTGCTGCCGCGAGGGCGGCCCTCATGATGTGTATCATAGCTTTCGTTTGCTGGGTTAACCCGTGCCCGGTATAACGTCTGCACATTGTGAACTGCATAAGTGGTGAGCCAGCCGGCCTCAGTATTAAGCGGCCTTCGGGTCATGGTTGGGTGTTATGCACAGGTTTGCCCCTCCATATCACACTCGTTGGGGCTTTTATATTTTGCAAGTTATTATAAAAGATATATTTTATTTTTATTTTTTTATTTTTTTCTTTCCCCTTACTGTTAGTTATCAGTACTGTGTGGAAGGGGTCATGTATAGGCTGTGATGGGGGTCTGCACGACCCTTGGGTAAGAATCCCCAGTATGTATGATACCTCAGGACCCCCACCCTAGACCCTGACCTTGTGTAGCTAGTCCATTAGCTATATTTACAAACTTTGTAGTACGACATGGGCTAAGTGTGCAATGTAAACGTTAGGATTGCATGAACATGGTATACTTGCGGGCAATAATAAAGTTCATAGGTGTGTCGCTTCCAGATGCCTATTTTCGTGCCTTCTTCCAGGTTGAGGGTTGTCGCCCAGTAGGCGCCGGTCTTGGTCTCTCGGCTGGTGGAGTGATGCCCCATTCCTGCAGCTTTTGGAGGCCTTCCTCTGGTGACATGATGGTAGTGAGAGTGCCGTTGCATTGAATGAGAAGTTTGGTCGGATATCCCCATCGATATGCTATGTTGGTGCTGCGTAGGGCTTCTGTGATGGTGCTGAAGGACTTCCTTTTTCGTAGCGTCATGTCAGCAAAGATCCCAATTTTCTGATATTCCGATGGTATGTCTTTTCGGACTCTGCTCGCCTTGAGAACTGCCTCTTTTGCGTGATAGTAGTGCATTTTCAGTATTATGTCCCGCGGTATGTCTGCAGGTAAGTATGAGGGTTTCGCTACCCTATGTATGCGGTCCAGCAACAGGACATCTTGCGGTAGATCTGGTACCAGCATGTGGAAAAGCCCCGTGGCGTATGCGGGCAAGTCCGCTGGGCCTATGTTTTCAGGCACGTTCCGCAGCCTCAAGTTGCTGCGACGCACGCGGTCTTCCATGTCCGCGATCTTGGTCTCATATTCGTTCAGCCGGTCCCATGCTTCTTCCACTTTGGTGGTTAGGCGGGTATGCGCCTCCATTTGTGCCTCCATCTGGTTTTCCAGATCCGAGGTGCGAGAGCCCAGTTTGTGTATATCCGTGCGGAGGTCGGTAAACGAGCACTGCAGCGTACCCTGTAGTTTTGCCGCCATATCATCCAACATCGCCTGCAGACTCTCCGTGGTAAGTATAGTGTTGGCGGTTTCATTTTGCGGACATTGTGAGCTCTCCAGGTCGGCGCCATCTTGCTGCTCCTCCGGTATAGTAACTCCTCGTGTGTGCCCTTGTTTGGCACTAAAAAAGATCATTTTGTCGTTTTTATCGGATGCCCGTTTGCTTTTGTTGTGGGACATAGTGATGGTGTGTCCCAATGTGCAGTTTATTGTGGTTTCGGGTTGTCAATGCTGCATGAGGGCCTTAATTTTTGCGGAGCTAGACGAGCATGCGACCGCTCTCGTTCACGTCCAGGCCACGCCCCCCTGCTATTCAATCTATAACAGTGAAAAAAGTTTTTTGTTTTTAAATCCAAGCTATTATGAGACCAGATATGAGTGGCACTGTAAACTGGCAGAGTACACGCTGTAGGGCTGACACACCTGCTTGAAGATAACTAACTGCTATTCA